AGATATTTCACATATCTTTTAAGTTCTCATAGCAGCTTGCTCATGGGAAATGCTTGGGGTAATGAAGGATGAAGAGTTATATCACACTTGATACACTCTGGATCTGGCTCACTCTCCCAAAGGCACAGATTAAAGGCTTACTCCCCAGTGTGAGGCTGTGGGGAAATAATGGTGGAAACCTTAACAGGTGACCGTTACTGGTAGTCTTACATTTTTAGGTTATTGCGCTTGAAGGGGTCTTGGGACAAGGGTCTCCTTTCTACTTCCTAGTTGCCATGTACTGAACAGTTAGCTCTACACATGTTTCTTATCATGCTGTGCTTCTTGGCCATCAGCTTGCAAGGGATGGTGGCCCCTGACCATGGACTGAAACTCCAAACCCGTGAGCCAAAATAAACCTTGCTTCTGTTTAGGTTGATTTATCTTGGGAATTTATTATGGTACCAGCAACCCAATTAACATAACAGTAAAGCTCCAGAGTATAATGCTGTGAGTAAGCTCCTCCCTTGGAATCAAGAGAAGACACTTGTGTGTGAGGGTTCCATAAAGTCACCTTTCAACTGTGTATTTTTCTTTGTTTTCCTTTCCTCCTGATACTGTCTCTGCTCAGAAACAAAGAGCACAAAACAAAAATTCTAATGGAAAAATTGCTGTTTTCCATTAGGAGCCAGGAACTTTTATTTGCATTCTGAAGACAACAACCTCCTTCCACAAGTGCAAAAAGACTAGAGTTCATCAAAGTTAAATCGAAGATTTAACTTCTTTGTTTCTCCTTTGGTACATTCACCAGGAAGATGTTGCTACAATAGCCACATGAGGTGGTCAATTCTGGCTTCCTCATTTTCACATTCAAAATAGTCCGGGGCAGAGCACAACTTCTAAGCTTGGACTAGAAAAATATCTTTAAAACTTCCCTCTCACATAGTGAATAAACTTCCAAGGTAAAGAGGAGCCAACAATATATGATAAGGGAAACATGGGCAATGCCAAGTTATCCTGGAGCCCTCAAGGCTATCAGAATGACAGTCTGGGGAGACGGAAGGAATAGAAGGACAGCAGCGATAGAGGGGTCCCACTGCATCTCTTTCTGTTGGCCACGTTGCTCCAGACCTGCTCCTTCTTAGGTGCTGTGATAGTTAATCTTGATTGACTTGAGAGAAGCCTAGGAGATTAGTAGAGGGCATATCTGAGGGTAGCTGATGAGTGATGGCCTTGAGGACTCTGTCTGGTCCTTGTTCCCTTCCTTCCTGGCTCTTCCTCTGCTCTCTGCTTCTTGGCTTCCATGGTTGGGACAGCTTGCCATTGTGTCCTTATGTCATCAGCCTTCTGCCTTGGCACCACTAACCATGGACTAAAATTCAGAAACCAAATGAAGCAGCTCTTCCTTTAAGTTGGGTATGTCAGGCATTTCGTCACAGGGAAGATGACAACTTATACTGGGGCCCTGGCACCAAGCCCTCTGCAAGGCTGTGTGTCTCCGTGCCAGACATTGAAGAAGTTATGTGCAGAGCTCCCATCCTGGGTGCTCAAAGCCACCATCCTCCCACAGAGAGCCCTGCATTGCACTTGGAAGCATGGTAGGCTCTTGTTTTTGTTTTCTTCTTGTTCTTTTTGTGAGCAGCAGATGCAAGCTCCTTTTGTATATTTAGAAGAAAGAAACTTGGGGCGAGTGGAGCAAACAAAAGAAAGAGCAGAAATTATAAACCCACTTCAGGTAATTAAATGATTAGGGGTCTTTGAAATCCATCAGATAGCTCCATTGTTCCGCTTTCACTTTAGTCTTGGGCCTCTCTACACATCAAACTTCTGGCAGATATATCCATGTGGAAAGCTGGAGGGAGGCTGGGAGCTACGCTGTTCTGATTCCCATCAGGTTATTTGCAGATTTCAGATGGAAACCAGACAGGACGCTTCCTTGGACTCTGTCACCTGCTCTTGGTGGAGGGGTTTCTACCTCCCTTTCTGCTCCTGTGGCCAAGATAAAGGTCTGGCTGGGATGATGAGATCATGTGGCCATTTACCAGCTCTTCATGCCAGAGATATGCCTGCTGGCTGGCTGACTCACACTCTCCTATCACTTTTAGCTCCATCCTGTCTTTGTTAGAGAAAAGCCCAGAGGTGGCGCATGTGCAGGAACCATGCCTGCTGCAGCCAAGACGTAGCTGCTCTCTTCCTTCTCCTAACTATGAATCCAAGTAGCCACTTCTAGGCAGGTAGCCTCCTTGCTGAGGAAGAGGGTCTTAAGTCTGTGCATCCCATAATCTCTTCTTATTTCCATCTGAAACCTGCCAGAATCTTGCTAGAAGTCAAGACAAAGTAGCTTCCAGCCTCTTGCTGGCTTTTCAGACTGCTGGATCAGGCAAGGTTTTATGTGTGCAAAGGCCCAAAAGGGGTGGGGAGATAAAATGTCATTGAGCTCTCTATTAGATCTCAAAGGCCTGGAGCTCTCTAATTTTCTTGATGGAGGTTTTCAGATCTTTGCTTTTGCTTTCTTGGTTGTTCCCTTCATTCTCCAGTCAGCTGGTATCATTCTCTCCCTCTGCTGCTTCCACCACCTCTGCCATCCAGCCCCAGAACAAGTGGGATTTGGGCTGAGAGTTTCTGGGAGATATACACAGTTCTGTTCGTTTGCAGTGGGGGATCCCAGCACAGTAGATGTGGGGAGGGGCAGGGATCCATCTCCCCTTTCAGCCTCAGACACACAATAGCCTCCCTCCTGCCATTCAAGATCTAGCCAAAGTTGGGGCTCCTAGTGGGGCATGAGTCTGGGGGAGGGTTGTCATGTGCCCCTTTATTATCCCATTGCCCTGCCTGTCTCCAGGTCTCTGCACCAGGACAGTCCCCTGCTTGTACTGCCTGTGCAGTGCATGAAGGGGCTGGAGGGTACACCTAGGACTTGGGGTGCAGGGCAAAGGTCTTAGGCCTGTTTAAGTCTGATATTGTCTGATAGGGTGCAGGCCTGGCTGGTTACAGCTCTTCCAGTTAGGAAAGCTGCATGAGGCTGGCAAAGAATTTAGTGGAATCCAACCAATGCTTCATACATTTGTAATTATACCTTAGATTTCTGTCTTTCTATTCCAAACAGCACCATCCTAAAGCACTCCTTTGCTCAGAACAGCTCACAGCTCATGCAGCAGGGAGAATCACACAAGCTCACAAGAAACACTACCATGCATGGTGTTTTCTAAAGCATGCTTCTGCCCAGCGAGTGACTTCAAGGTCTCTGCCCATGTGCTGATGTTCTAACAGAGGTCACAGCTTGGGCCGAAAGCATTTGCATCTCGATGATGAAGAGTTTCAAAGAGAAGAATAAGAATGAAGAGAGAAAAGAAAGACAATGCCTTAACGATGGAATCCACCTCTCTGTGGAGATTTGCACCTAGGGAGCAAGCGACTGAGCACCACCTTCTCCAGGAGGGCGTGGGAAGCCCACACTGGCCAAGCTCCCCCTGCAGCCTCATTGGCTGGAACAGGCACCTATATTCCCTTAACATGCTCTTGCTTGGGAGGCCACATTCTGAGAGCTGCTGCCCCAGCTGGCATGCCTACCATTTGCTCTTATGCCTCTGATTCCTTTACTAAATGGTCCTTTTTGATCTCCATTGATCTCTGTGACCTTTGCTCTAGGAAGAGGAGCCTGCATATAGTTCTGCTGTGTACTTATAACCATTTCTATGATACTTTGTCCATCTCTCTGCAATTGTTCTGGAACTTACCTGGTGTGAAGAAGCTCCTTCGGCCCAGGGGCCCAGTTACCTGTGGATCTGTAGCTGAACTACCAGGGCTGACCCAGAACCTGTGGCCTAGTGGAGAGTTTGGCCTCTTTGTTGCTTTCATGAAATGCCTTCAGAGCCCCCTGGAGGTGGGGAGAAGGCTTTGGTCTAGAGAGGTTTCCTTTGGCTTCTTCTCTTGAGAGGGCGCATGCCTTTGTACCCTAAGCTTGCAGCATGGGGCACAAGACTTACCGCGGGTAGCTTCACGCGGCCCTCCTGGAAGGAGCACGTCTTGGGGTCATGGGTGCAGACATGCCGGTATTTACACCAGTGGCAGCGGTATGGGCTCTCCACACAGGACAGGCACCTGGGCACAGGGGAGAAGGGCACAGCTCTCAGAACTGGGTGAACCCCAAGCACTGGACTTAAGTGCCTTGGGTGTACCAAAATACAAATAGAGAAACTGTCCTCAACACAAAACAGGTACCAACTCCTTGGCCATAGGAGAGTTACCTGTTTTGAGGCCATCTCCTATGAACCTCGGTGCTGATGTCTCTGGGACAGTCCTGGTATCTTGTGTCATACCTCACCATTAGCTGTCCAGCTCTTCCAGGAGTCCACTAAGCTGCACACTTCTGGAGGGCATGGATTGAGTCTAGGAGTTTTACTAATTTTGATCTTTTTTAAATTTATTTTTATTTATTTATTTTTGGTGGAGCCAGGGATTGAACTCAGGCTCTTGTGCTTGCTAGGCAATCACTTATTCTACTGAGCCATCTCCCCAGCCCCGCTCTTTTTGTATCTAATGAGCAACCAATTGTTTTGTACACAGCAATGCTTGAAGTTATTTAGTAGATAGAAGAGGAGCTTCATGCATGGTTTCATCTATCTACTCTGCTTTCCTAGGGGTAAGAGTGGATGGAAAGATTAGGCAACCAGAAAAGAAAGTTCCAGGCAGCTGCATGCCAAGAAGCCAGGAGAGAACCCCTGGTGTCGAAGCAGCTTTCTGCCTGGGAGGGATGGACACCTCCTTCCACAGAGCCCAAAGGGAGTTCAGCACTGTGCTCACAGCCACGCTAGCCAGACTGACAGCCCTGAAGTCACAGCAGCTACCTGCCCTATATATAGAGAGGGCACAGAACAGAATGTTAAAGTAAGAATGCTATAAAGAAACCATGTGGTTTGCAATTTGTGCTCTATGGGAACCGGGGGATGTTATGGAGCTCCTTTTTTTTGTACTGGGGATTGAACTCAGGACCTTGCATTTGCCAGGAAGGTGCTTACGCCAATGAGCTATCTCCCAGCCCTCATAGAGCACCTATGGAGAGTGTGCAAGGACTTGTGTGGGGGTCCTAGAGATGGGAGTTTCAGGCCTCCTCAACCTTCCACCAAGCAGCTTCTACTTTCATCATGTTGGGCTTCCACACTTAACTTCAGCTGAATGAAAGGTTTCTATGCTGAAAAACAAAAAACCGTGTGCATCAACAATGCAGCCCCAGGACTGGGGATGTAGCTCAGTGGTACAAGCCCCTGCCTGGCAAGAGCAAGGCCTTTAGTTTGATTCTCCATACTAGAAAAAGAAAAAGTAAAGGAAAACACCGTAGTCCACCCCATCATTTTATAGAGGAAATACTAAGCTAATAAGGGCAAAAGCTGAGCAGCGTTTGACCTATGGGTCAGTCAGGGTTCTAATGTCCTGTGTCCTGGCTCTTTCACACTTCATATCTTCTAGCATGAGAAGTAAGGCTTCCATGCAGGGGTATCAACCAGCATTGTGTCCCACGTCATTTGGCTGCTCTGATGGGAAGTGTCTGGGCAGTGTCAGTTGTTAAAGCTCAGTACTAGCTTGGAAGGAGTATCTTGATTGCCTCATTTTGGAGGACACCAGAGCTCAAAGGGCTTGCGTTTCCTAGCTACCATGACTCCACAGCCCAACCCTCTGCCCTCTAGCTCTGCTGCTGGGAAGAAAATGCTTAAGTCAAATAAATCCTGAGCCAGAGCCAAGCTTCCTGGCCTTCCCCATATACCTCTGGCTCCCTCTGGATCTCACCAGCCTGTGTCCTAACCTGATCTTTAGGGCCTTATGGGAGCAGGACATTCAGGTGACTTGCTAGGCCACTTGCCCTTCCTGGACACATAGGGGGCTTTGCTTGCTCCTTGGAACCCTCCTATGAGGAGGGTGCTGGCTGCTCTGTGCTTTGGGTGAGATGCACCTCAGCAGATGTTGGAACAGAGTCAAGTTGGACAGATCTTTGCCAGAGAGGATGCCTGAGCCAGGGATTTGGGTAGCCCACCCCAGGGGTGCACTCTTGCTCCTTTTAGTCTCCATTAAGCCTACAGATATTACAGGAAAAGGCCCTTCTCCTTCTGGGGCAAATGAGGCCTCCAAGGAACTGTGGTGGGGCCTTTTCTTCTGCACAAGCTTGAGCCCAGGAATAAGTAGCCAAGTGAGGCTGGCGTACTTACGAATTATGGACGCTGCAGTTGTAGAAGATGAAGCTGGTGCTGGCAAAGGTCATCCCCGTCTCTTTGGACTTGAGTTGCAGCTGTACAACATGGTGGTCCCCTGCAAAGCAGAGGCATCCAAGATATTAGGGACCCACTGGCGGATGTGCATCCTGGGAACAGGGAGCCTGCCCCCAGGTGTAGGTGTGTCATCAGCTCTCACAGCTCTCTGAGTCAGTAAGGCCCAGCTGCAGGGTAATCCCCAAAGCACACGCACAGTGCTATTTGAAGGTATTCTCCCTTCAACACTTCAGCACTTGCTGGTCCTAAGTACTGGTCACTCACATAGACACACACGTAATGTATGCATAGAGGGGGAGGTATCCAAATGTGTGTCACATGTACCATGACTTTGCCAGCCTCACAGTCACACACACACACACACACACACACACACACACACACACACACACGCTGGTGAGCAACCAGTAAAATAGCGCAGTACCTCACAGGGCTGCTATCACAGCTCTCCAGTGGTTTTGTAGGTATGCACAAGCGCACCTACCACAGGAACTCATTTCCCATCTTTGCAAGGAGAGGCCAGCTCTGAGGCTGTGTTCTCCCCAGGGAACCTAGGGCCTCCCAGGGCAGGAGGCACTGGGTCCTCAGCTGGTGCAGAACTGGAGCTAGAGCCCATGTTTAATTCACAGCCCTGACCCCAGCCCCCCCCCCCCCACTTCAAGCCTTGTTCTCTGCCTTCCCTGAGAGTCTCATTAATCAATCAGTTCCGAACAAATGTGACAAGCCCAAATGGGAGGGACAATATGGAATCAATCTGCCCAGGCTAGCCAGTGCCTTGCCAGAGTTGAGCCTCTGTCCAGTCCCATCTTTCCCAGGGCAGCTGGACACAAACAACAGGCAGCTGTGGGAAGGTGAGGGAGGGGAGGTGGGGCAGGTCCAGGTCAGAGATCCAGCCGTGGGAAAGGCTGCGGTTCCACTTATCCCCCACCTCCTGATGGCTTGCCTTCTTCCAAGGTCCCTTCAGGCCAGCCAAAGTGGGCTCTCCTGCTGAGCTGACCATGCCTCCACCCACCTTCTCTGCAGCTGCTGCTTGCTGGGATGTGATGGATTCTTGTGTGCTAACTTGGGACTGAGAAAGAAGGCTTATAACAGCAAATCCCAAGGGCAAAGCAGGGAAACTTCACCGCACCCTTCTTCCTGTATGTAACACGCTCACCAGCTCACCTCTTCTTTGAGCCACCCCTGCTCATCGGCTTCCTCAGTCTCCACATGTCTGGGATGAGTTCTTCTACGGAGACTGCAAGGAGAGACCACTTGCTCCCAAGTTTGGCCTCTGGGAGGGAAGCACTCACCATTTTCCGTGATGATCCGGGGTACCTCCTTGGCGGCTGGAGAGTAGCAGTGGATCTGATTGCCTACCACCAGCCCATCCATCTCTGACAAGTCCTCAAAGGTACAGTTGACACCCGCTGACAGCTCTGGGACGTTGTATGTCTCCAGGACCAGCTGTGAACAGCCAGGCAGGGAAAAGGGAGGAAGAGTGCCGAGTAGGGAAAGAACAGGTGTGGAATGTAAGAAGAGGGAGTGGAAGAAAAAGAGGCAGACAAAGGAGAGGCACCGTGAGTATAGAGACAGAGAGATCGATTTTGTTACAAGAGCAGTGGAGGAGGAGGTGAGATGGAAAGAGAGGCAAAGTAATCGCCTTAGGATCAGAATGCATTTGGCCACCGCAAATGGGAATGTTTAGGGGCTTTGTGTGGTGAGAGGACACAGTACAGGATCTCATCTGGTAGGCCCAATTCTGGCCAAACCATACCACCAATCCCTACGTGCCCACTGCTAGGGCTTAGAGGGCATCAACACCCCTTTCTCCATCTGCACATGCATTGTTCCTCTGTTTTAGATAAAGGTATCATTCCTAGCACCCTTTGCCACTCTTCTGATCATTTTGGTGGGACCATTTCCCTTCTCTTTCTATTCATTATGAGTGCAGCCTCTTCCCCCATGGTCTTATCAGCATCCCTTTCTTGGGTCCTTACTGCAAGCTATTTGGAACATCCCCTGCCCTGGTTCAGAGCTGCTCTTCCTGTTAAACTGGGCCCAGCCCCCTGAGGAGTTTTGGACTCAGATGCCTTTGGGCGAGAAGAGCTCCTCCTCCTGGATCCTGTCCCCACTCACCAGCACATTGTACTGAGAGACGGAGATGTTGTTGGGATGAACTGTCAGCCGGACACACTGCTTCATCTCTGAGGCAAACCTGCGGGACTCCTTGGACCTCTCACAACGCTCCTTCCGGGTACACCTGAGAAGGACACACTGATGATTTACTCAGGAGATGATCGCTTGGTCCAGGAGGGACAAATGCTGAGGTCAGGCAATTCTAGTAGAACTCAGGTTGTGTTAAAACTCAATATACCCAGACCTAACCATTTTGTTTCCTTCCTCAAATCCTCCTTCCCCATGCCCAAGTTTGGAAAAGAGGACCATTCCTCTTAGTATTTGTGCAATGCCAATACTGGAGAGTCATCCTAAACTCCTCTCCTGACCTTCAGATCCAGATCAGAAGTTGCCTACCTGTCCGTTCTACCTTAACACTCATCCTTAGCCATTGTCACCTTCAGCAAACAGAGATGAACTCTTTTGTGCCTTTAAGAAGTGGGACAAAAAATACAGTGGATGCCATTGCCCTGTGCCATCCAGCAGGAAGTCAAGCTTGTAAAAATATTATCATTGTCCTCATTTGCTTTATTCACCAGATCTGGCACCATGGGACAGCTATCTCTTTCCACAAATCAAAATGACCATAAGAGGGAACTATTTTGAATCCATTCATAACTTTGAGGCAGCCATGAAACTCAACCATGTAGATACTCACAAAAAGGGACTTCTAAAACTGCTTCAGAAAATGGCAATAAAAATGGGATAAATATGTTTCAAGGGAGTGGAATATTTTGAGGGAGATTTTGGGCAACTTGCATTTTACTAAAATATTTTTTCTAAAACACACTTTCAATTTTTGAATCAGATTGTGTTTTCCAGACTTCTTCCTTGCCTTTGCACATGCCAGTTTAGTTTTGTTAGGACTTCCCCACCTTCCCTAGCAGACAGAGGAGCAATGTGAGAGGGTGGGAGAGAGGACAGGAAGGGTCAAAGGAGTGAGAATAGCAGTGCATACTCCACATGGTAATCCCAGCAGTGTGCCCCTGGGGAACTGCCATATAGGTTTGTCATTACTGTTTAATGCTCTGTGTAGTACAAAGTGTACCATGCCAGGGTGACCTGGGATCCTACAGTTTTCACTGATGAAAGACAAAGTGAGCCATGCCCAAATGTAGCCATCATAAGAGTTCACTGCATGGAGGTATCTGAGTTTCAGGGATGGTATTTAATGAGTCAGATAAGCCTTGTGAAGGCAACTTTATGGAGTGTTTGCAGTTGGGGAGGTTTGGACTACGGGGTGTGAATAAGCAAGAGGGATGGACTAAAATAAGGTGAAACTATGGATAAATCACTCCTGAGTTTTTCTTTTGGTCAAAGAGAATAGGAGAGCATGAGGAAGTGTTGTGGGGCAGTAGGAAGCCCTGACAGGTGCTTGGTAGGAAATAGGGCAGTCAGAGGTAGGTGCCCCCATGGGTGGCCATGCGTCAAGAGGCATATCTGTCTCAAGAGGCAGATAGGTGTGCTGTAGGCCAAAGAGATGAAGGAAAGAGCCCCCTGGGCACTCCTGAGTGATTCTTGAGCTTGCTCTTAGGGCCAGAAGAAACTACACGTGCTTATCCTCTAGCCATGGGAAAATAGTGGGAGGAATAAGAGGAGGGGCCTGGCTGAGAGGAGAATTTGACTACCAAAACAGGAGCCACGGAAGGCAATGCTGTAAGCCCGCCATACTAAGGATGAGGGGCAAAGGAGAGAGAGACAAAAATGAAGACCTTAGAGCAGGCTGGGTGTGCAATGCAAAAATAAAAAATCAATCCTGAGCAATGCAGTGGTGGTCCCTAGTTGTGAATGGTTGACAAGGCACTGGGATTAGGGCTTCGAATTTGAATCTAGTGACAGTGTCTTGACAAATTCTCCTTAGAGGTCAAGAAACTGCAGAAGAGAGTGGGTAAGTAACCTGTCTAGGTCACCGGCTAATCAGAGATCGTATCGGACACAGAGTCTGTATTTCCTCCCACTGTGAATGAGCTCCCTGGAGCTTCTAGATGTTGTAGTGAGGGATGGACCCTCTTGCTGCCGACTAAACCCATTTTCTTTGCCATCTGAATGTCCTTAGGGCAATTTAAACACCTCCCCTCCATCTTTTTCTCTTGGCTAATGGCTTTTTCTGCCGTCCCCTGGAAAGCACCTCAGACGTCACTGCAACTGGCAGAACAAAGCTGAATCCTCTAGGATGCCTCCAAGAGACTCCAGCACACGAGGAAAAGGTCAGATGGGAGTCTGGGTATCCTGTGGCACTCTTTGGCTGCTCTAGCAGACCAATGGCAAGGAAAGTGTCTGCCTCAAAGTCTTGGGAGTTAATTTACCAGGCCAGCTCCACTGCGAGGACTCCATTACCTTCAGCCATTAAGCTAATGTTATGGACTTTTCCAGAGTGTCTGCACTGACATGGCTATTAATAGTGTTATTACTCCCATTAACAGCAGACCTAGAGAGCTGGCGTGGGCTTGAATTATTCACTGACTCCCCAACTTTGAAGTTCCTGTTTCTAAGAGCAATCAGTAGGTCTAAAAAATGTCTTTGATTAAATTATAGAGAGAGAAAAATGGAGCTGCTACCAGGCCAAACATCACCTGGAGTTACCAAATAGTGATTCAGACAGAAAAGAGAGGAATTCTACACTTGTCCAGGGCAAAGGGGAGCAAAGCTATCTCAGGCCAAGTTTGATCTGTATTATTTGCTCCTTTTAAATTTCGTAGGGCTGCATCCTGCCAGTGCTCTGGAGGGACCTAAATTAATTAATCATCACCTTGCCCCCAAATATAGGGAAATCATGTATAGTTTACAATTTTAAGCATTCCATCTAACTGTGATGTCGGGCTGACCAACTACTTAGTTGGTTCATCACTGTTCTCTTCTATAAAATAGGGACCAAATAGTACATACCTAATATGGTTTTTATGTGCATTAAATGATATGAGACCAAAACATTTAGAGCAGGGCATAGCTCTAAATAAGTCCTCAATAAATATGAGCTCATATTATTGACTCATTTCTTCTCTGCCTTCCCGCTTCTACCCCTCCCAGCTGTAACTGATACAGAAGCACCAATCTTCTTGTAGAACAGCTCAGGGGGCAAGTCAAAGAAAGACAGGGAAGGATGCAGCAGTTCTTCTCATAACAAGGGAGGAGGGCAACCCAGAGGCCGGGAGGGAGGAAAAGAGGGGAAAGAAGTATAGCTTGTAGCTTTGTTTTCTTAATAGCTGTCAAATGGCATGGAGGACTCAGCTCTCTTAGTATAAAGTCAAGTTTAAGGTCAGAGCCATGGATGCTTTGACATTTCTTCTATCCTTCAGGGCCCAGGAGGGCGGAGACTGCACATGTCCAAAAGCACAGACAATTGACCTTAAATGTGATAGCATAACGGAGGCATAGAATGCATCGCTTCGGAAGTCCTATGGGGTCTGTCAAGGCGATGGCCTTTCGCTCTTCCAGGACTATGACTTCTATGATTTCCCAGTCGGCTAGGCGAGAGCCAGGATGTGTGTAAAGGGTTAATCTATGCCTCCTGGAGGGGCTACTAAGAAGTTCCTCCTAAAGAAGCTCTTTTAAAAGTAGGTACCCCCTGCACCCATATCCACTGTAAGGGCACACTTGAGATAGAGAGGAGACCATTAGGTCATCCAGTCCCCAGCTAGGAAAACCAGAGCTTGTAGGGGCAGAGATAAAGCATGTTACATGACTTCAAATTTTCCAGACAATTGTCCCGACTATCATCATTTTTATTCCTGCTCCAAACACAGATCTGCTGATGGCCCACAGGAAGCAGGTCAGGGGACCACACACCAGCCCTCCCAAGTTAGAGCTCTTCACTACTGGGCACTTCTTTCCTCCCTCTGTCACTGCACTCTGTCTGTGCAGCATCCCCTCAGGCTCAAATCAGAGGGAAACCAGCTAGCAGCCCTAGGGAGAAAGACTCAGGGTCCCTGGAAGGGGTTATTATTCAAGCCAGTGGTTCCAATGAGATTATCCTCTCTAATGAAGCAGCTACCTCCGCCCACCCCTAAGCCTGAACTTTCACTGCTGGAGAATTCCCAGTCAAGTGGAAAATTAGACAGGAGAGGAATGGAGAAAGGAAGGGGATGAGGGAGAAGGAGAGAGGTAGTGATTAAGTTCAGTAGAAATTAATTCCTAAACAGGGAGATACAAATATTAGTTCCCAGTGCTGTTGGCAAGGCAAACAAATTTGGCCATGGAAATGAGGTTCTCTGTGAGGCTGGCCTGGCTGGGCACCCACACTAGAGGGGCCATCGCTGGTCCATCTTCCCCAGCCCTCAGTCTAGGCTGCCTGGGGGTGGTTCTCAGAACTTGTTCTTTCCTCTACCACAGATGATCCATAATCCTAAACACTTCACCTTGGCCATGGCTTGAGCTTAAAGCATACCACTGGGGAATCTGCATTTGGAACTTATAGAGTCTGAAAAAGAAGAGATGTGGGCGAGGGGACTTTTGCAAGTAGGCTTTGCTATAGTTTTGTACTTGAGTGTTCCTTAAAGTCCCAAGAAGTATTTGGAGGTGGCAGACTGTTTAGAAATGGGACCCAGTAGAAGGAAGTTAGGTTGCTGGGGCGGGGATTGTCTTTGAGGGACATAGTGGAACTCAGGGTCCTTCTGGGTTTCCTCTTTGCATCCTTCCTGCCATGAAGGGAACAGGGTTCTCTGCCACATTTCCCCAGCATGGTGCTACATGCTCCCACCAGCCCAAAGCAAGAGGGCCAAGCAGTAGACTGAAACCTCTCAAACTTTGAGCCACAGTAAATCCTTCCTTCTTTATAGCTGACCAGCTAAGGTATTTTGTCCCAGTGCAATAAAGCTGACTAGCTTCAGAGGCCTGATAGAAAGTTAAGAGACTTTAGAATGCCTGCTCTCAACTAGACCAGAAATGGGTGACATTTCGGCCATTGCTATCACATCTGGGGTCTCTGAAAAGGGACAAGACTATGTTTTCTAACTGTTTTCTTGTCCTCTTAGGAATACCACAGAGAGTGTACATGCACCTATGGAGCTTGGAGGAAGGCAGAGCAGGGGGCTTTTCTAGGAAGATGGTTTCTTATGTAACGATGTGGATAAGCTGAGTCAGGATTCT